GTTCAACAGAAGATGCTGTTCACAGCTGATGTTTGTTCGTGAATTTGGTTCTTGATCAAAAGATTCTACCAACTCTTCAACACCAGGTGAAAGCATTATGTTTCACCAGCTAGCAACTGTCTGGTGTCATTGACTGTATTAGTCTGAAAACACCTAATCTTGGAAACTAAGCAGACTTGGGCCTGGACATTACTTGGATGGGAGATTGCCTGGGAATATCAGGTGCACTAGAGGGTCTGGTGGTGAATTGGTAGTGTCCCTACCCTTGAGCCAGGAGGCCTGGATTCCAGTCCCATTTGCTGTTGAGGTGTGTCATAACATTCCTGAACAGGTCGATATTTTTTTTAAAAAACAAATGTTCGGTCACTAGTAAGGTCAGTTCTTGGGAATTGGACCCAGCACTTCTGAGAGAAAACATGATGGTCAAGCAGAGGAAGGGACTGGAGAATTTGAGGCTAGGATTTTGAACATAGAACATAGAACGGTACAGCACAGTACAGACCCTTCGGCCCACGATATTGTGCCGACCTATTATCCGACTAAGATCAATCTACCCTGCATACCCTACATTTTACTATCTTCCATGTGCCTATCCAAGAGTCGCTTAAAAGTCTCTAAAGTATCTGACTCCAATACCACTGCCGGCAATGCATTCCACACGCCCACCACTCTCTGTGTTTTGGATTGTGTTTCTGGGAGAAACAGATGATACTACAGCATGAAGATTGAAAGCTCCCTGCCTAACCTTCCATTATCTGGAAGTTCAGAGAATAGAAACTAAGTTATAAGTATTGCCGAAACTTCCTTAGAGTGGTCTGAGAAGGTGGCCCTGATTGACATCTTCAGAAAATCAATCAAGAGACAATCATATATGTCTGCGAGACAACACGTTGTGAAAGCTGCTTAAGTAATCTGGATGGTTTTGTTATATTCTTAAATTGATTGAGTGATTTATTGTTGTCACATGTACCGAGATATAGTGAAGATTGTTGCTTTGTCTGCTATACAGGTGGATTGTACCATACAAAGTGCATCAGGGTAGCAGAATAGAGTGCAGAATACAGTGTTATAGCTGCAGAGAAGGTGCAGAGAGATAAAGATCAGAATTAACATTTGAGAGGTCCATTCAAAAGTCAGATAACAGCGGAGAAGAAGCTGTTCTTGAATCTATTCATGCGTGTATTCAAACTTTTATATCCTGCCCGATGGAAGAGGGTAGAAAAGAATACAACTGGGGTGGGAGGGGTCTTTGGTTATGTTGGTCGCTTTTCTGAGGCAGTGGGAAGTTTAGATGGAGTCAATGGATGGAAGGCTGGTTGGTGTGATGGAATGAGCTGTGTTTGCAACTTTATGGTTTCTTGCGGTCTTGGAAAGAGCAGATACCATGCCACACTGTGATGCATCCAGACAGAATGCTTTCTATGGTGTATCTATAAAATTTGATAAGAATCCTTGTGGACATGATGAATTTCCTTAGCCTCTCGAGGCGGTAGAGACGTTGTTATGCTTTCTCGCATTGATGTGGATCGACCAGGACAGATTGTTGATGATCTTCACTCCTAGGAACCTGACGCCCTCGACCAACTCCTTCTCAGTATCATTGATACAGATCGGGATGTGCCCTCCTCTCCACTTCCTGAAGTCATTGATGAGTTCCTTCATTTTGCTGACATTGTGGAATGCACAGCCCTCTGTTCCCTCTGCTCCAACCCTAACCTCACCATCAAAACTGCGGATAAAGGGGGAGGCAGTAGTGGTATGGAACATTGACCTTTAGATAGCCAAAGCCTGGCGCCAGCTTGTTGACACCTCCTCCTACCACCCCCTCGATTATGATCCCACCCCTGACCACCAAACCATTGTCTCGCAGACCATTCATATCCTCATCACCTCCGGTGATCTCCCACCCACAGTCTCCAACCTCATCGTTCTCCAAACCCCTCACTGCCTATTTCTACCTTCTTCCCAAAATCCACAAACGTGACAGCCCTGGCCGATCCATTGTCTCTGCCTGCTCCTGCTCCACTGAACTCAAATTTGCTTGATTCTGTCTTTTCCCCACTAGTCCAGGAACTACGTCGGGGCACCACCCACGCCCTCCACCTCCTCCAAGACTTCCAATTCTCTGGCCCCCAACACCTCATCTTCTCTATGTACAATCTCTACAATTCTCTACAATCCCTGTACGCTTGTATCTCTCACGCAGATAGCCTAAAAGCCCTCTGCTTCTTCCTATCCCGCAGGCCCAACCAGTCCCCCTCCAGACACCCTCATCCGCTTAACAGAACTTGTCCTTATCCTGAACGACTTCTCCTTTAACTCCTCCCACTTCCTACAGATTAAGGGGGTGGCCATGGGAACCTGCATGGGCCCAAGCTATGCCTGCCTCTTTGTAGGATACGTGGAACAGTCCCTTTTTTGCAGTTACACTGGCACTAGCCCCACCTCTTCTTCTGCTACATCGATAATTGTATCGGTGCTGCCTCGTGCTCCCACAAGGAGCTTGAACAGTTCATCAACTTTACTAACACCTTTCACCCCAACCTCAAATTCACCTGGACCATTTCTGATACCTCCCTCTCCTTCCTGAACCTCTCTGTCTCCATCTCCAGTGACCGACTCGAAACTGACCTCTATTTCAAGCCCTCCGACTCCCACAGCTACCTGGACTACACCTCCTCTCACCCAACCTCCTGTAAGAATGCCATCCCCTACTCCCAATTCCTCTGCCTCCGCCGCATCTGCTTCCAAGATGGGGCATTCCACTCCCAAACATCCCAGATGTTGTCCTATTTGAAGGACTGTAACTTCCCCCCTCCAGTGATTGAAAATGCCCTCAACCACATCTCTTGCATTTCCTGCACTTCTACCCTCACACCCCCTCCCCCCAACAAAAGTAAAGACAGAATCCCCCTTGTACTCACATAGCACCCCACCAACCTCCACATCCAACGTATCATTCTTCGCCACTTGTACCACCTACAATCCGATCCCACAACCAAAGAGACATTTTCCTCTGCATCCCTCCTCATAAGGACCACTCTCTCCACGACTACCTCGTCCACTCCACACTCCCCACTAACCCCACCACACCTGGCACCTTTCTCTGCAACCACAGGAAGTGCTACACCTGCCCCTACACCTCCCCCCCACTCTTCCATTCAAGGCCCAAAACAAACCTTTCATATCAGACATGGGTTCACATGCACATCCATCAACTTGGTCTACTGTATTTGCTGCTCCAGATGTGGCCTCCTCTACGTCGTTGAGACCAAGCGTAGACTCGGGACTGTTTTGTAGAGCCATCTACACTCTGTACGTGACAAATTACAACACCTTCCGGTCGCCAACAATTTTAATTCCCCCTCCCACTCCCTGGGTGACATGTCCATCCTGGACCTCCTCCAGTGTCACAATGACACCACCTGCAAACTGGAGGAGCAGCACCTCATATTCTGCCTCGGGACCCTACAGCCTGATGGCCTACACATGGTTTTCACCAGTTTTAAAATCTACCCCCCCACCCCGGCCTCATTCTATTTCCAACTCTGCCTCTTATCCCCACCTCTTTGACCTGACACAACTTGTCCATCTTCTCTCCCAACTATCCACCCTACCCATCCCAGTAACCAATCCCCACCACTCCCTATCTGCACTCACCTATCACCATCCCACCTACCTTTCCCAGTCCCATCCCTCCTCTCTCTATTTACTTCCCAGCTGTCTTCCTCTCCCCATTTCTGACGAAGGGTCCCAAGCTGAAACATCAACTTTCCTGCTCCTCTAATGCTGTCTGGCCTGCTGTTTTCCTCCAGCTCCACACTGTTTTTTCTTTGATGGAGAAATTGTTGTCTTTACACCATGCCACTAAGCACTCAATCTCTTTCCTTAATTTATCCATATCCTTAATAATTATCAGCCTTCCATTAAATTTAAAGCCACAATAACAGTATTAAATTCGCACAAGATCAAAAGCTTAAAGTAGCAACAAATATATATTTTTGAAAATAGCTGACCCATACTTCTACAGACAAAAGATTGTCACCTCACACACCTTTCAGATTGTTGAGGTCACAGCTAATGTATATTCACAGCGCTGGAATAGTTTAACGAGGCAGTTATAAACCTTTTCATTGCCTCTCAGATTGCAATCTCAGATTTAAATGTAACAATTGACACAGATTTCAGTCCAATGAGACTCACAACACTTTAACTGGATTAATGGTGACTCCTGAATATCTATCCTTAAACTATAGACTCCAGGCTTCCCTATCCCAGCCTTAGAGGAAAAATTGCTGGCTCCCATTTCCTGTCTCACCCTTCACCACAGCAAAAAGATGGCTTCTGGTTCCCCACCTCTACCCCTTTCACCCTGAAATCCTGACCTCCCAGCCTTGGGTTTTAGTACCAACTTCACCTCAGCTTTTGTCCCCTAGTCTTTGGCAGATGTTCACCTGGTGACTGTCTCATAGCCAGCACTCATTTATGTAACTTTTCCTCTAAGCACAACTTGCTTCTCTACTGCATTTCTTGCTGATATATTGCCTGCTGACCCCATGCATCTTGTGCATTACTTGTTACAGTTTGGGCCTTTGATGGGACTACTGCAGGCATTTTTGTTTTCCAATTTTGAGCAATGCGGTGATGGTGCAGTGAAGGTTCACTAGATCGGTTCTTGTGTCAAGAGGTTTGTTCCATGATAAAACCATAGGACTCAGGAGTAGTAGGCCATTTGGCCCTTTGAGCCTGCTCTACCATTCAGTAACATGTGGCTAATCTGGTTGTGGTTTCAGCTTCCTGTTACTTCTTCCTTTATACTCTATCCTAGTGTGTTGTTGTTAAAGGCTTGTGCACCATTCCCACAGGGATTTCTTCAGTTGAGGCTGAAGATCAGCCATGGTCTACTGAATCGTGAAGCTGGCTCAAGTGCTCTTGTTCTTTATTCTAGAGTTGTTATGGCAAAATACTTTCTGGAACTTGCTTATAACTTTTCCATACAGGTGCTGGCACAAAGTAATCAAGTGAGAAAAGAGGCTGAAGGTTCAGGTCCACTCACTGAACTTGAACACTGGAAATGCACATCAGCAAAATTCAATTCCATCATCGAGCAGCTTAAAGGACAACATTGCAAGGCAGTGATAAATGTGTTAAACACAAGCCACTCAAAAATGTTAAAGGTAAGATTAATGAGAATATAAATATTAGGATGTTTATACTTAGAATAATTGCAGTTTTGCAATAATTCAGATAATAATTAACAAAGCTCATTTCTGATGAGAATAGTACATCAGATTGTTGATATAAAATTCAGACTTTGCATTGATATCTTCAAGTTCATTGCCATCACTCGCTCCTAAAGTTGATTCGAAATCTATTGTGTTCACACATATTTTTCTGGTGGTATAACTTCAAGGGTCAACAGTAGATACTCGCTGATATATGAACTCGATACCTCAGATGAAACCAATGACCATGCTGAAGAGACCAGGCTAATGGCAAATCACACAATTGTTATTTTCTTGAACAAAACTTGAGTATTGCTGAAAACGGAAAAAGGCTTATACAAACAATTTCCATACTTACTGACCAATCGTACTGATCAATCATCTGTTTTCCCGACACTCACATCATGTTGGTCCACTGGTCTCATGACAGGTAGCTTCTCAATCTGTGCCTTTCATCTTTTCTTCTTGACCTCCCACTTAAAACGTACTATTTTAAACTTTAGAAATAGTTACCTCACTTGTTTGCAGTTTCCTTTGGACCTCCCAGTTTCATCCTTCATCTATCTTTTGGTCTTGCTCGCTCTCTTCCCGCCTTCATCTCTCCACTGTGTCCATCTTTCTTTGGTTTGCAAGCTTTCTCCCTTGATCACATTCCTCCCCCCCCCTCCCACAATCACTTCACTGTCTTGCAAGAATATATTAGTTTATCTATAAATAAACTCCACCAGAGATCTTCAAGTAAAGGAAATCGTGCAGCTCATTTGTGTTACACTTAGATAATCATAAGATATAGGAGCAGAATTAAGCTATTCGGCCCATTGAGTCTGCCCTGCCATTTGATCATGGCTGACATGTTTCTTAACTGCATTCTCCTGATTGATTGATTGGTAATCGAGGAAATAAAAGTATTATTCCATGGTGAGTAGTTGCAATTTTTTTTGCTTCAGAAAACTTAACAGAAGAAAGATGAAAATAGCCATACAAGCTAGAACCCAAAAAGAAATAGTATCAAACAAGATACAACAGCAATTCAGAAGTTCAGACAAGACGGAACACAAGAGGAGCTAAAACTTCCAGGCAAATTGTAATTATCTCAGAGTCGGCCAGTTTTGTGTAGTTAGCGAGCTGATTGAAAGCCAGCCTATCTAAATTTGAACAGTCATGGAGAGGCATATGCTGAACAATTAAAATGTTTGGTTAGATTTAAAGAACAAAAAAAGCAGGATGCTTTTTAGGAACAATGTAGAGTCAACAGATCAAGCTCTGAAACAAGCTTCAATCCAAAAAAAATTGTCCCTAGAAATCAAGCTCTATAATTCCCAGAGTCATCCCAAATGTGAAAAGATTTAATTAAACTACCCAAAGTCTCAAATTTAGCTGAGTGCCAATCCAGGTTAAAAGAAATGCTCGTCAATGATTTATTGCAATCTGATTGTTTTCAACAAAAGCAGAAAAATGAACTGTGAATTTATAACTCTTTATAATTTAACTCCATATGCTTTTTCTAAAAAAAAACCCGTACACATACAAACAAACACACAACAAGACAAGACTCAAATATTGTAGGTAAGGAAGAAACAAAAGCAAACGAGTGAAGCACAGTTCTGGCACCAGTCTGGATTACAGGAATGAATGAAATGTTTTTGTTGAGTTCCTTTAGCTTTTGATGAGTACACAAAGTTGTGGACATATCGATTTTAAAGTTTCATTCATTAGTGGAGAATTTGTCCTTTAGTGTCTCTGTAGATGGTTTCTCCCTTTTTCCTTTCATGGAGAGAAAGAGAGATACAGATGTTTTCTGTCTCACAGGCTGGATGTTACACAAGGTTGCAGTCACTTACCCAGACAGCAGTCAAGATGTTGTTGCTATGCTGAGTATTCCTGACTACACTAGTCCTGTTTGAAAAACCAATCAAAAACCTGTAACTGGGCTGTAGTGATTGTAACAAGGTCAGCCGGGTGGATCTGATAGAATATGAATTCCCTGACGGTGGCTGTTAATCTGGTCCAATCAAGGAACCCTGGCTGACACATATAAACATGGGTGTCAGAAGTTCTGTTCGCTCTGAGACTGGGTCTGAGGAAGCTGAATCAGTGTCGGGGACTTTACATGTGTAAATAAAGGGTGACTTGACGATGGGATACCAGCCTCTGTGGAGTTATTTCAGTGGCGATGAGAGAAAAGCACGCTCCAGAAGAAATTTACTTGCAACAGTCATCTTTGAGTTGGGGTAAGCATTTCTGGCATCATGCCATTACTTGCGAAGCTTGATTTATTTGATCCTGCTGTCGAAATCTGGGCCTGATATGTGGAAAGAATGCATTATTTTTTCTGGGCAAATGACGTAGGGCAGATGAAAAGCAATGATTAAGTCTCCTGATAGCTTGTGGAGCCATAGCTTTTACAGTTATTAGGAGCTTAACTTGCCCTGATACTAAAATTTTTGAAGAGTTGACAGATTTAGTGAAGGAATATTACGATTACAAGCCTCCTTTAATTCTGAGATGCCATCAATTTCACTTGGCAATTCGAGAACCAGGGAATCTGTATCGGGATTTTTGACTAGGTTAAGACGACTCGCAGAGGCATGTGACTTAATGATGGGATTATGATGCAACCATGCAAAATGCCTGCTGGCTGAAGCCCTACTCGACTTCAAAATGGCACTAAACTGGCTTTATCATTGGAAAATGTGGCAAGTGGAGCATGAGTTGCAAGGTATTGCAATGGAGCTTGGGGGCACCACTTGAGCAAAGGCAATTGTGTTGCCTCACTCAGGACGTATCCTGAACAGAGGGACTCTAGGTCAGCCCACAGCAAAACTCTAAAACAAAGCCAAGCCTTGGCGAATTGGTTAAAATTTTCTTCAAGATCCTGGTCAGCAAGTCATTGTAGTTGTTGCCGGTATGGAGATTCCAAACAACAAAAGAACAAAGAACAAAGAAAATTACAGCACAGGAACAGGCCCTTCGGCCCTCCAAGCCTGCGCCAATCCAGATCCTCTATCTAAACCTGTCGCCTATTTTCCAAGGATCTGTATCCCTCTGCTCCCTGCCCATTCATGTAGCTGTCTAGATACATCTTAAATGACGCTATCGTGCCCGCCTCTACCACCTCCGCTGGCAACGCATTCCAGGCACTCACCACCCTCTGCTAAAAGAACTTTCCATGCATATCTCCCTTAAACTTTTCCCCTCTCACCTTGAAATCGTGACCCCTAGTAATTGAGTCCCCCACTCTGGGAAAAAGCTTCTTGCTTTCCACCCTGTCTATACCTCTCATGATTTTGTAGACCTCAATCAGGTCCCCCCTCAACCTCCTTCTTTCTAATGTAAATAATCCTAATCTACTCAACCTCTTTTCATAGCTAGCGCCCTCCATACCAGGCAACATCCTGGTGAACCTCCTCTGCACCCTCTCCAAAGCATCCACGACCAGAGGTGTACGCAGTATTCCAAATGTGGTCGAACCAAAGTCCTATACAACTGCAACATGACCTGCCAACTCTTGTACTCAATAGCTCGTCCGATGAATGAAAGCATGCCGTATGCCTTCTTGACCACTCTATCCACCTGCTTTGCCACCTTCAAGGTACAATGGACCTGAACACCCAGATCTCTCTGTGCATCAATTTTCCCCAGGGCTTTTCCATTTACTGTATAGTTCGCTCTTGAATTGGATCTTCCAAAATGCGTCACCTTGCATTTGCCTAGATTGAACTCCATCTGCCATTTCTCCGCCCAACTATCCAATCTGTCTATATTCTGCTACATTCTCTGACAGTCCCCTTCACTATCTGCTACTCCACCAATCTTAGTGTTATCTGCAAACTTGCTAATCAGACCATTCCTCCAGATCATTTATGTACATCACAAACAACAGTGGTCTCGACACGGATCCCTGTGGAACACCACTGGTCACAGTTCTCCATTTTGAGAAATTCCCTTCCACTACAACTCTCTGTCTCCTGTTGCCCAGCCAGTTCTCTATCCATCTAGCTGGTACACCCTGGACCCCATGCGACTTCACTTTCTCCATCAGCCTACCATGGGGAACCTTATCAGATGCCTTACTGAAGTCCACATATATGACATCTACAGCCCTTCCCTCATCTATCAACTTTGTCACTTCCTCAAAGAATTCTATCAAGTTGGTAAGACATGACTTCCCTGCACAAAACCATGCTGCCTATCACTATTAAGCCCATTTTCTTCCAAATGTAAATAGATCCTATCCCTCAGTATCTTCTCCAGCAGCTTCCCCACCGCTGACGTCAGGCTCACCGGTCTATAATTAACTGGATTATCCTTGCTACCTTTCTTAAACAAGGGAACAACATTAGCAATTCTCCAGTCGTCCGGGACCTCACGTGCTCAAGGATGCTGCAAAGAATACTGTTAAAGCCCCAGCTATTTCCTCTCTTGCTTCCCTCAGTAACCTGGGATAGATCCCATCCAGACCTGGAGACTTGTCCACCCTAATGCCTTTTAGAATACCCAACACTTCCCCCCTCCTTATGCCGACTTGACCGAGAGTAGTCAAACGTCTATCCCTAACCTCAACATCGACGCAAAGTACTCATTAAGAATCTCACTCAGTTTCTCTGATTCCTCGCATAACTTCCCTCCTTTGTCCTTGAGTGGTCCAACCGTTTTTCTCGTTACCCTCTTGCTCCTTATGTACGAATAAAAGGCTTTGGGATTTTCCTTAACCCTGTTTGCTAAAGATATTTCATGACTCCTTTTAGCCCTCTTAATTCCTCGTTTCAGATTGGTCCTACTTTCCCGATATTCTTCCAAAGCTTCGTCTGTTTTCAGTCACCTAGACCTTATGTATGCTTCCTTTTTCCTCTTTGCTAGTCTCACAGTTTCACCTGTCATCCATGGTTCCCTAATCTCGCCCTTTCTATCCCTCATTTTCACAGGGACATGTCTGTCCTGCACTCTAATCA